AGAAAATGAGGCAGAAAACTGATGCATTGGCCGCCACTGCTCATGATGGAACAGACGAGCCAGGCCGACGAGTCAGCAGCACAGCGCCGGTGATGAAGGAGGCTTGTGACACAGTCATCTCACAGGTGGAACAGAGGTTCTCACAGAGTGACCATTTGATCGCTGCAAAGCTTGTTGACAGCTCATTCTTCCCACAGCATGTCCTGTCATTTCCTACACCTGAGCTTGACTGCGCCGTGAAACTGTGGCCTGCGTTGGGAAACAAGGAGAAGTTGAAGTCTGAGCTGACCACGCTCTACCGCCACAGTGAGCTTCACACTGGAAACACTGCCCTGTCTCTGTTGAAATCCATTCACGAGAACAACTTGGAGGAAACGTTTGCTGAGACTGTTATTTTGGTCAAAATAATAGTGACAACTCCGATGACGACATCCGAGTCAGAGAGGACCTTTTCCACCCTCAAAAGGATAAAGACTTTCACTCGCAACACCATGGGACAGCCGCGACTCAACGCATTGGCCATGCTTTCAATTGAAAGCCAGTTGATCCAGCAACTACAGGACTTCATCCCCAAAGTGATAGACACATTCTGTCAGAGGAAGGACCGCCGTGCCGCTTTTCTTTTCAAGTGAGCCTTAAGCTTTGGTAAGTTCATTTATGTCATATATTTTGTTGATCTACTGTGTTTTGCCTCTGCTGGATCGATTGATATTGTGACCTCGATGATGAGTGTCTGTGTTTTCCTTATATTTACAGTCTATGGTGTTTTAATGCTAAAGCATTACGGTTGTTGTTATTGTTAAGAATTACTTTGTGATGGTGACCTTTACTCCATGTATGAAGGTGCATTACTATGACATCCCCACGCTGTGTACGTAAATGTATGCGCTCACAGTGTTGCTCCTGTGGTCTTCAGTATGTAATTTGACACTCCCCCTCTCTCTCTCCTCCCCCCCTCTCTCTGTCCCCCCTCTCTCTCTCCTCCCTCTCTCTGTCCCCCCCCCCCCTCTCTCTCTCTCTCTCTCCCCCGACCTCTTTCTGCCCCCCCAGTTTTGTACACCTAGAAACGCCACTGGTCATTCTACAGAAAAGGTGGAATCTGGGTGATACAAATCTGCTGAAATATATTCCTTCTAAAAACATCTAAAACCTGTTAAATAGCAATAACTAACTCTTAACTTGATGAATCCACAACAAGTAGAGCTTAAAATATTTTTATTATTTTTATACTTTATACAAAGCTTATTTGTATAGGAATGTCAGTCACTGGTGTTACGTGTTACCAGGAAGAAGAGTAACACCAGTGACAATTTGGTGAAAACACTACCATTTTAACAAAATGGCTACAATGTGTCAGACCAAATATGGCTTCAGTTAATATCAAAATCGTTTAACTCTTCAATACAATACATTTTCCTATTCAAATGTTCACCCCTAGGGCTATGCAATGAGTAACACTAATGACAGACTTGAAAGACGCATGTAAAATTTGAAGATAAAATGACACCTTTAACAAACAAAGTAAGAAGTATCTGACTTTCCTTATGTCTTTGTCCACTGCACTGCCTCAAATGATCTCTTGTTACAGGAGGCACTTCAGAGACAGTACATTATTTCAAAAATAAAAGCGTTTTGTGTAGCAGTAACACCAATGACGTAATTTTGGGTGACTGACATTTATTTGATATTATTAATAATAATTTGCGTTTTTTTTTACCATTTCAGTGTTATATTTAATGCTTGTAATGTTATGTAAATATAAATTAGATTTATTTATTGAAAAAAAAATCTTTTAAATTAAAACTATAGGCTCCATGTATGATCAAAGTTCCTTGAACTTGACATTTTAAATAAATTGCAATTTACGTATAAAACAATTTTTTATTTATTCGTGCCCGCAGCGGCAGCGGGCACGAAGTCCTCAGCATGCATTGAGGTATCCCCGGGAGGCAGGAGCAGTCACCCCGGGAGGAAGGAGAGCAACCCGGCCGCAGGCAGACGCGCAGCGGCGGCGGGCACGAAGTCCTCAGCAGGCGTTGAGGTATCCCTGGGAGGCAGGAGCAGTCACCCCGGGAGGAAGGAGAGCAACCCGGCCGCAGGCAGACGCGCAGCGGCGGCGGGCACGAAGTCTTCAGCAGGCGTTGAGGTATCCCCGGAAAGCAGGAGAGCAACCCGGCCGCAGGCAAACGCACAACGGCGGCGGGCACAAAATCCTCCGCAAGCCTTGAGGCATCCCCGGGAGGCAGGAGCAGTTTCCCCGGGAGGAAGTAGCCGTGGACAGATGAGAGGCCAGATAGGATCCCGGAGCGCGCCACCCATGGGCCGATGGAGCATGGGCGACGTCCGGAACTGTCGAGGCGAGACGGGGTCCAGGAGTGCGCCACCCAGGCGCTGATGAAAACGTGAGTGGCGTCTGGATATCCCCGGAAGGCAGGAGAGGCCAGACAGGTTCCGGAGCGCGCCACCCACGGGCCGATGGCAGCATGGGCGACGTCCAAAACCGTCGAGGCGAGACGGGGTCCAGGAGTGCGCCACCCAGGCGCCGATGAAAACGTGAGTGGCGTCTGGATATCCCCGGAAGGCAGGAGAGGCCAGACAGGTTCCGGAGCGCGCCACCCACGGGCCGATGGCAGCATGGGCGACGTCCAAAACCGTCGAGGCGAGACGGGGTCCAGGAGTGCGCCACCCAGGCGCCGATGAAAATGTGAGTGGCGTCTGGAACCGCCGTCGAGGTGGTGAAAAAGGTGAGAGTGTCCACACGAGGTCAACCGGCTGGTCGAACCTCCTCTCCGGCACCGGAAAAAATTGTTAATAGTCAGATGTTAACAGAAATACGTCGACAGCCGTTAACAGCTAGCCGTTAGCCGCTAACTGGCAGCCATGGGTAGCTGCTAGCCGTCGTTAGCCCCTCGTGGTTAGCCGCTAGTCGTCGTCAGCTAGCGCAGCCGGGACATGCAGCCGCACGCCCCGAAGAAACAAACCCACGAGGTAGCCATCGGGTTGCTGGTCGACCCAGCAGGTTGTGCATCGTCCCCCTGTTGGATGGAAGGCTGATGCGGGAATGGCGAGCAACATCCCCAGCCCCACCTAGTGTCAGCAGAAAGTATTACAAATAATGATTACAACAAAATGCAAAAAATAAATTAAAAAATATATCAAATATATTTTAAGATCATGTTTAATCATCTGATTCGTCTGTACATTGCTGTTTTAGTCTGTGTTCTTCTAATTAGTGTCTACAGTGTGTGCCTATTGAGCTGTTTAGAGCCATGTGGGACAAAACCCGATCCTGCCCCTCCCTCTCTCTGTTTAGGTCAACGGTGACTGTAAAATATGAGGGGCCGTACAGGCCGTAATTCATACTGGTCCTCTCACGCACATATATTCTCCTTTTACATACATATATTTTCACTCTTACATACATACATTCTCCTTTTACATACATACATTTTCACTCTTACATACATACATTCTCCTTTTACATACATATATTTTATAATATATGCATGTCTTTTCAAATCAGCTGCTCTTCATATTTTACAAATATTTTTTACTGAAAGTTCTTAATAAAACTGACACTGTTGGACTCGAGGGGAGAAGAATAAATGGACAACATTGTTAGGAGATTTAAACTATACAGAGAGCCGTTTTTTCAAATCAGTAGCTCTTCATTTTCTTTTTACAAATATATTTTACCACAAGTTCTTCATAAAACCTCATAGTAAAAACTACACTGCGCATGCTCAGAATATTTTCCTATTTAATGTGTGTGGCAAAAAAATAATGACCATAGGGGCATAGAGCTGCCATCCCCACCATACGTCATCTCACATCATTCAGAGCTGATTGGCTGTAAGTACGGCCAAATCCCAAACCACTCCCTCGACCCTACTCCTCCGTGACGGAGTGAACTCCGTCCGTAGCCACACTCGCAGCTCAACGAGGCTCCCTCCTGTCAGATGGAGGGAGTAAATACAGCAGCAAGCTTTGGGACGGCCTCCCCTCTCTCCGGCAGAAACAGGAAATGCCGTAACTGTATGTAACAACGGTTTCAAATCAGCATCTCTTAAACAAAAAGTTTAAATGAATAACTCAAATAAAACTCCAAACATCTTTCATTGTGTTTCAAAGCTCTTTTAGTTTTAAACCTGATGTTTATAAGCTTCTTAGTTTTTGCAACAGTCTGTAAATGTACACAACTTTATAATAAAATGCACACATTTACCTTTTTCTAGACTAAACACAGGTATGATCCTAAGTTAAAAACATATGAGGTTATCATGAGGTTGTTAACATCGCAATTTATCAGTGGATGTTTGCTGGAACTACTTGTAAACAGCGTGTTTCCTGACGGACACACACAGCGTGACTCCGGTCAGGTAGAGACCGGTCTCAAGTCAGCACCGCTGCAGACTCGCTGTTTGAGGGCTTGATAGCCCACTCCCCCTCCACACCGCTCCACACTCGTTGCTTTGGAACAGCCCTCAATATGGCGGACCCTCCGCGTGAACGAGCAAACGGAGGGGTAGGGTGTAGGGGTAGGGTGTAGGGTGTAGGGGGCGGTTTGGGAATGGGCCTACGTGTGCCGCGAAAAGTGTGGTGTGTGAAGAGGAGACGAGAGAGCTGCAGTGACGCATCCTAAAACCAGGAAGTAAGCTGCGCATGGCTTCCCTCGACAAAAAAGCAATGAGATTTCTCCATAGGATTTTAGAAAATAGCTCCAAATAAGGTCTGTGGGAAACGTAGCTGTTAGATAAATGCACATTTTGTTCAGCCGGATAATATCCACATGTCTACCCTACTTTTATAATTTTCGAATCATAAATCTATTGATTAGATTAGATTTATGATAGACTTTTGAAACTACAAGAACAAAAGGAGGACTTTTACAAAAAAGTAATAGAGATTTTTGTCCAGAAGGATAGGCAAATGGACTTCATCTTCAAATCAAGGTAAGACAGCAATTTTATTGAAAATGGGATCTTACTAAGAGAGAACAATTCAATATTTAAATGATAACATTACATTTTTTGGGTATCCTTCTGTTGAACTGTCTGTTTAAAATTAATTGCCAACACTCTGACATCATTCAAACAATCCCTCAAAACGCACCTTTTCACTCTAGCCTTCAACTCCTTATTCCACCTAGCTTAGCACTTTTTACTTTTGTTGTTATTTTTCTTCTTTCCTTGCTTGTAAAGCGATTTGAGCACCAGGAAAAGCGCTATATAAATCAAATGTATTATTATAAGCGTTGATTCAAGTCTTTAAACGACTTCGGTCATGGCCGACGGCATCCGCAGTGTCCCCCCCACACTGTTGCTTTGCCTTCAAATGGCAGTGTGCGAGCAGTTGGGTCAGTTAAAAAAGTGTCACTTTTTTCATGTTTTGGGTAGTGTGTTTTTGATGACTGTCCTGTGACACAGCATGGCACCACTGTGAAGAACTGAAACTTCGGCCTGTGTTTGCAGATGAATGGGATGCCCTTGCTAATGCCTTCAAAATCGGAATAAGCTGGATGACACTGTGTTGGCTTCTGGAAACCGAGATCAGGTACCATCAACTGGTGTCATGAAAACATTGTCCTTGCAGCAATGAAAAAAGCACAGAAAGAAAAACAATGAAATGATCAGCCTCCAAAAAATGATGAAGGAAGAGCTCGGGACTGAGGAAGCAGTCATTCAAAAAATGATATCCCATCCTAAAGGTGTCGTGCTATGATCCAAGAAAACGGTTGACCTCTTCCATGACAGGTGCAGGGAAGATATTGTATATTTGGAAGCGACAGGGAGCAAAAGGGAAAACCTCACCGTTTTATGTATACGAGATGGTGCTCCGAAATCCATTCAAAGGATCCTCCCCTGTCTCCGAGGCCACAGACATCACCAATGACCACACAACGGCCTCCATATCATATTTCATTGGGGCATTTGTGACGGATTGAATAAGACTCCATGGAAGAAGAGCCAAGCAAAGGCCTGCCGTGTTGATATGCGATGGCTCAACAGTCCTTCTGCAGTCCATGGCCTATAACTTCTATGGAGTCAGCCTCCAGGAACTGCTCTCCAGAAACCACAGCATTGTGTCTGGACAGGCGAAGCATGGTTGCATAGGGCTACCCATCATGCATCGCTGTTAAGTCATGTCATGAAAAATGCCGAAAACAATAAGTGATTTCTGTCCTTTAGTACAATGCTTCCTGAAATCATTCATTGGTGAAGTCTTTGTAATAATAATCTTTCAACCTTTTGCTTAAAGTGCTGCCAAACATTACCACCTGGCTATGCATGTCTTTGGACTCAGGACACAGGCCACCACACTGTAGAGCAGGAGGAAGTTCTCTCCAGAGCCTACTGACAGATTCAGCACAGTCAGACTGGACAATTCAAGTGTTGTGGTATGTAATAATTATGTGAAAGTTGTTTCCTAGCTAAAAAATATCAGAAAAAAGGGTTTGTTGACCTTCAAGTCCAACAGAGCAGAAAAGAGGACAGAGGCAGTGTGACCACAAACAATATTAACATGGTTTACATATTTTTAAATGACCCAAATCTCAATGCAACTAAACTTATTTTTGGATTGTTTTTCATAGAATGATATTGGATCCACGCCATTCCAACAACATTTCGGGGACCTAATAACAAAAAGAGTACTTGACAAATTCTGCCCAACTGTATCCCTTCATTGCTGAAGTACTTTCTGCCCCAGGCTGGTCTGTGGTCTAGCCCAGGGGTTCCCAAACTTTGCCATGCCAAGGACCCCCATATAGCATTATCCTCTGGCTCCCCGCCAGAGGATAATGCTATATGGGGGTCCCCTGTAGCAATTTGTTAGTCTAACCCTTTTTAAATGATGTGTACAAGTGCCTCACGATTGAGCATGCATTGCCACTACATTTGGGGCCTTCTGCCTGATAAAAGCTGTTACTCCGCTTTTTTTGCCTGTCATAGCGCCACTGCCCCATCTGAACACACACCCACACAACGAGACAAGTCAAGTCCATTTGAGATGATGTACTCATCTAAAACTTGGAAAATGTCTCTTCATGTGGTCCTACCTTCCAGTGCTTTGCAAAATAATATTTCCTCAACAAAGTTGTCTTCCGAAATAAATCTGATGTATGCAAGCAATTCTGCGACATTTGCTACATCCGTGCTCTCATCCAGCTGCAGAGCGAAACATTCACTAGCTCTCACTTGCTCCAAAAGCTGAGCAGATACTCAGTTTCACTCTCAGTAGCGGCAGCTCGATTCTGATTGGCTTGAAGGGCGGTTGTGTGATTCAAAAACAAGAAATATTAAAAGATTGGCATCAAAGGACACATAGATTGATAGATACAGTTATTAATAACATCTAAAAAATAAAATAAATAAACTTTAAAAAAAAAAGAATCCTGTTTCCCTCAAACTTTGCATGACCCTCCTGGCGCCCCCTGGCGGCCCCCCGGGGGGTCGGGCCCCCACTTTGAAAAATACTGGTCTAGCCTACTCTTGTCTAGCACGTTTTTCAATAGCTGCTTGTTAATATAATTACATTTAAAATAAGAAGGCATGTTTACTGTCGGTCAGGTGACCTGGGACGCCATGGAACAGGGCCCATTTATGAATAACTTTCCCTGAAGCACCAAAGGGCTCCCAAAAGACCCACACAGGTACAATAAAGCTTTGATGTCAAATTGAATTTCCTTGCATTATTCCATCATCAATATTATAAACTACAATGTATACAGTATGTAAACCATGTGATGTTAACAATATAATTTGATGTACCGTAACTAATATGTTGAACTGCAGATTAACACTGGACAACAAAACTCAAGGCATTATGGAAAAAAGCGAGGGGGACCTCTAAAGATCTGTTTTCAACGAAGACATCTGACCAGGCTGGACGATAAGGGAATATGGCGACTCTCTGAGGAGAGCAGAAGGTTAATGTTTTTTATTTTGGCTGTTATGTTATTACATTTGTCCCAAGTCATTAAGCATTGCTATTGGTTAGTCAGCAGGTCATTTAGTCATTATTAACATTTATATCAGGTGTGCTAATAACTGTCAAAGAAATAAAAGTGATATATCAATCAAAACTGTGATGCAACTGAATTTAGTAGGTTTCATAATGTTGATGAATAATAATTAATGCAATAATCAATTTATTTCCAGGCAAAGAAAATATTTGGTGCAAAAATAAATCAAGATTGAATGACGTGAAATGGCAGAACATGAAATGAAAGGTAATTTACGAGTGCATTTACCCTGTGAATACTCCTTATTACTCATCGTGTGGAGCGATGGAAGCAAAGAAAGCAGACAGGCGAGGAGTTTGACACCCATAAACAAGCCTTTTGTTTCAGACTGCACAAGAAAAATGTGTCTTTTTAAGAGCTAACCAAGTGTTTATTCAACAATTGTATTTATTGTTGAATAAAACAAATGTTCTAATATTTGTGTCATAAACACTTTGTTTTTCTCAGAGCATGCAGGAGAAAAAACGGAAATATGTTGAAAATATCAGAAAACACAACATAGTATAGAATGTCAAGTAAGTCAAAGTATAGTTTGTGAACATTTTAAAATAAAAATGCTATAGTATGTTGAAAATATCACAAAAAGTTATAGAACAGATTATCGAAAATATATTCATAGTAAAAAACGTCCAAAAAATAAAATACAAATAAAAACCATCAGTTTAATATGTAGAAAAATATCAGATGTTTAAAAAATGACAGTTTAGTATTTTGAAAATATCTGAAAAAGGTTATAGAATGTCAAAACATAATATAATATATGTTGAACTTTTAAAAAAATGGTGAAGTATGTTGAAAATATCAATAAAAAATGATATGAATAATATGTAGAAAAATATCAGAAAATTATTAGATGGTCATATGAAAGTATATCTGTCATATTAAAAAAAGTACATGTTGTAGTACTTGTAGTATAGTATGTGGAATAGTTAAGAAAAGCAACATCAGAATCACAAATCCTTTGTGTTCTACAGAGGGGATATGTACGCTGCTACAGCGAAGGGGACAACACGGACAGACAACATATGAAATAAAGAGGCAAGCACATGTTAACAAAACATTATGTTAAATAAGTACACGTTCATGTTAAAAAAGAGGAGTTGCAGTATTATAAAAATGAAGTGGAACATATAACAAATAATGAATCTATCATAGTATTACATCCAAAGTGTATGTACTGCAAAGTGTTATTTTACAGCATTGTTGTTACAGTATTAGGTAGCAGCCAATACTAGCGTTGTAAAATAGTATGTATTGTGTTTACATCAGTGTTGTTGCACAACAGAGTGGTTATAGTGTGTGTTGTAGTGTTGGTTGTGTGTGTTGTGATTCAGGGCCTTGGTGACTGTACACAGTCCTGCCGACAACAAGAAACAAAAACATTTGATCACAAGTTATTTTAATGGCAAACTGTGACAGTGTAATCCACACCCTGCCTTTGTGAATGTAACTGAACCCAACATTGTGCTGTCCACGTTTCATACATTCAGGCTTCAAAGATCCAGCATAAAGAACAATCTGTTCAATAGTTTAGTACTCAAATGATTCTACTGTCAGCCTCAGATTAAAACATGTGAATGATCACACTGATGAGCAAAGAGAACAAAGTCTCCAGAGCGTCACACACAGACATGTGTGTGCAGTGCATGGCGCTGATCCCAGCTCAGCTCCTGCCTGCACCTCCCGGCAGCACTCTGTTAGCACACAGGGCTTCATCTCATACACATCTGATTTATTTGGACATTTCTGCATCTCAAGTAGATTTGGGTTGGCCAAAGTACATTCAGAGAAACACATGTTGGTATTGTGGCATTAGCTAGCAACTCCACTACTCTGAGTAACTTTCTAATAGTTGACTGTTTATATTACAGCTCACAGGAACTTTGTGTGTGTCAACATGAAGCTGCTGTATACTGAAGGTAAGTGGTTCAACCCCACAAACTCGCATACATTCATACCTCAATTCACATGGGACGAGCACGAGTTACTCCATGTGACTTAAATTGGCATTGTATTTGACTATTTATAGTCGGATATACAAATAAAGTCTGGACAGTCTTTGCCAAAAGCATTATGTCACCCCGGGGACATAAGCATGCAGACTTCTTTTCAGTGGCAGTTTGTGGGTCCGATCTGGACCAGAAGTCCTCCTTAGAGCTGAAAGTGTTTTACAGACCACCCTAATGTCTACTTCCATTAATGGAAGTTAACACAAGCCTCTAGATATGGCTAATTTGCTCTTACCTCTTTTTTGTTACAATGATATAAATCCTCTTTGACACTTCCACTGCATATTTAAATGTTTCCCATGAGTAGCTGAACATTGCCTAGAGCAAATCAGAATTATTTTTGGGTGAAGACACAGCTCCTGTTTTGCCCACCATGACAATAGCACGACTCAGACATTTCATTAAGTAAACAGTACTGTGTAGCATTTAAATGAACTATTTTCAGTTGATGATATGCATACATTGTTTTCAGTCTTAAATGACTGTAGTCCATGAAATTATGATTAACACAATTGTTCTGCTCTAAGTTTCAGATGCACAGGGGATCAGTCAAAAACATCTTCCTGGGAGGAGATGAGTCGAGACTCCCCGTGGTGCAGAGTGAAGAAAGAGTCTGGCTTCAGTCCTTTCTGCTCCAGGGCCTCTCTGAGACGCACCGGAGGCTCCAGGTAGAACTGATGGAGGAAACAAGACCAGGGGGGACAGACCTGAGTACGTTTGATTCTTACTTTCTGAGCAAGGCAGCATGAGGTTGCATAAACTGTAAGCAGCACAAATATTAAGACAGCTTAACAAACAACCCGTCTCTGTTGTGTTACCAGAACATATTGGTGTCTTTACCTCAGGAGCAATCTGGCTTTAAAGGGACAGTTCACCCCAAAATCAAGATGACATCCTTTCTCTTTCACCTTTACGAGTTGCTGAATGTTGGATACAGCTGCCTGCTACTGTTGCTAAAGACGCTAAAACAATGTCTATTACCAGAAATAATAAATTCATGCAGGAACTTTGTTTTCTTACTCAGTTTCTAACCAGGTCATGATTTCTGGAAAGAGACATTGCGGTTTCTGCTCTACAATCAGAGTGTCTTCTATTTAATCATATTTATTTAAGAGAAGGCAGACATATATTCAGCTGAGTTCTCTTACACTTTGGCTGACACTATTCTGGTTACACAAACACTTGACTATCTGTTGGGAGTGTTCACTTTAGTTGCATTTATCACAGTTCTATCCTTATGGGTTATGTGACGAAGGTAACTTCGTCACTGTGAACTGACGGCTTCGGGCATTTTTATACAATTTATACTATTTATTGATGTAGTGTTTATTGTATTTTATTTTGAAATGCGTTCCCCTTTCCCCATGTCTGTGGCTGATGATTGTGTGCACCTGGTGCCCTGTGTTGTCTCCTCCCCCCTCACCTGTGTCTTGTTGTGCTGATTAGAGTGTGTGTATTTAGGCTCTGTTTCCCTGTCTGTTGGGAGGCTGGCAGGGAGTGTGTGTGTGTGTGAGATCCTGGTGGCTGCAGGCTGGGCTCACGTGAACAGCAGCAGCAGGATTGAGGCTGGTGGCTGTGTGCACAGGAACAGCAAGATTGAGGCTGTGTCCTGTGCTCAAGTTTTAATAAATGCCCACACCGGGTTATATTTTTGGACGTTCTGCCTCTGCCTCCTTGCTTGGTCTGGGCCGCTCAACGGTCAGCTTCACAGGTTAAAAGAAAGATATGTTTCTGCAACCTCGGTGAGGTTCTACTTCTATTCTACTAGTATGCATTAACCCTAGCAGATAGACTGTAAATAGCTGGTCTGTCTAAAGCAGTGGTTCTCAAAGTGGGGGGCGCGCCCCCCCTGGGGGGCGCAGAGGCATGCCAGGGGGGGCTCGAGAGACCAGGAGGAAAAATTGTTATAAAAAAAAAAGAAAGATAAAAAAAAAAAAATCATAATTTGAAAAAGTATTGATTCGAAAATAATATGATGCAGTACTATTACGTCTGGGTCTCTGTGTTTCATTAAAGCTCGGCTCTGTGTGTGTGTGGAACGAGCCATTTTGTGTGCGCGAGAGAGAGAGAGCGCACCGGTACCGGAGATCGTTGTTGTTAGCTTCTGGTGCTAGCGAGCTATGCTAACGGATATAAGGAGTCTTTTCAACAACAAAGTGGAGGAGAGTCCTCTCTTGTCAGACTGAGAGACTCAGTGAGCTAAAGGACTCTCTCAGTGGATCTCAAACGTTTTGGTCACCATTAATGTAAACAATTATTTCCGAGGCACACATTTATATGATCATTATAGTTTTAAAAAAATAAGAGAATAAATGAAAAACAGGTATGAAATACTATATGACAGTAAAACAACAATAAAGTTTAAAAGGGGAGTGATTTGTAAAATATCCATAAAGAAAAAGTAAATCTGTTTACAGATCTGTTTCATCTGGGTGTTGAGAGAGGTATCCATAGATCTCTTCATTTTGCTCTCAAAGTGCACCAGATTGATGCTTTTAACTTCAATATTTAAAAAAATATCTTCCCGGGGGAGCTTGCCCCCGGACCCCCCTATGTGAGGTCCACACACCATCTATAAAAATAGCACTTTACCCCTGCTTACACCTATATGCCGTGAGCTGATTATCGTGCCTTCATTGTAACAGTTGCGGGTACACTGTGTATTTGCGTGGGGAGTGTTGCAGTAGAAAATTCCCCTGTAGCGACCGGTACATTAATGGGAAACCCTAAATGTTTGAGCACCCTCTATGAAACGTCAAGCTACCCAACAGAACCCCCAAAATAAATATCTGGCGCCGCCACTGAGCCTGACTATTTGTGTTGGGGGGGCCCGATTTTTTTTTTTCTCCAAAGGGGGGGCCTGACAGAAAAAGTTTGAGAACCACTGGTCTAAAGGAACACAATTCACCTAGAATTTGCTTAATTAAACATTGTGTGTTTTGTGAGGGGGTTATGAGCTGGAGACTCTGCTTTAAAGAGCTGACTTGTCCAGCATGCAAATCCTATTTAAATCAACAAAGTGTACCCTAAATTCTTTAGACAGGCTAGCTGTTCCTCCTCCATCCTTAGGAAGAATGAGTAAACATGTCCCCTATCTGTCATTAACTGTATACTGCTTACCTCATAGGCGAGAGTGAACGTTCCCCAGTGGATGGCCACGGACTGTTTGGCCTGAAGGTCTTGATGGACCTGAACAGCCTCTTCTGGATCTACATGCTGCCCCTGCATCATGTCCCTGAAAAAAAGAATGTTCTTACATGTTTGTCTCTGTAAACTCTAATAAACAGAAATGATCTCTAGTGGCATGTGCCTCTCTGTCCTAAATACCACCTTGGTTTGGTCATTTGATAGTTTAAGGTAGAGTTGTTGTAATCCTATTACATGAGGGGGCAGTATATTAAAAACTTGAACTATGACAAGTCATAGTCTGCAATAACTCACAATTGAATTACCATGTTGACTGGAGGAAATAATAGGCATGATGAAAGTAGACAGTGTGTGAATAATGTGCAGTACCTGGGCAGGTAGGCTCCGATGGGGATTGCCGCGAGGTCAAAGGGTCCGAAGCGTCGTCCGATCTCTTGGAAGGAAGAGCAGTAGCCGGTATCACCAGCGAAGAAGAATCGATGGTCCGGACCCAAAATAGACCAGCTGCTCCATAAAGACTGGGGGAAATACATCAATATATTTCAGAATAATCTAATAAACCTGGCCTTTTATATGTTGACTTTTCTACGAATGCATGTATTTTTGTTAAATGTATGGTTATGTCTCATTTGCCTGCACTTTAGGTGACGGCAATAACACAAAGGTAATATTGAATCCTTACCTTGTTATCGTCGAGCGCGGTGCGTTTGCTCCAGTGCTGAGACGGTGTGCAGACGAATGTGACGTCATCGTGACCGGGGACACAGTTCTCCTCCCACCAATCCAGCTCCATCACATTCTCACATCCTGTCTTCACCAGCCAGTCCATCAAACCCAGGGGCACGAACCTGCAACACAGACACACACACACTCAGTTCATATGCCACAGTACTTTTCATGTTATGATTGAGAGCGAAAGCTGAATATTATCAAGACTGGATTTTAAAAAGGGCCCTATTCTGCTAATTTTCTCTTTATTGTTCTCATACTGCTGCAGCACCTCTTTTCACCCTCTGTCTGAAACCGGCTCTGTTGTGATTGGTCAACCGCTTAGAGATGTCCCGCCCCTTAGCCAATCACGTACAATGTTTTTGAGCGCTAGCCAATAGGAGCGTGAGTGTCAGTCTATGTTACGGAAGTAAACAAAGGTGTCCAATAACATTTCAGGCAGGGGGGGGGGGGCGAGTGTGTTAGAGAAACTCCTTCTGGAGGGAACAGGGATTTTAGCCTTTGCAGACCATTTACATTAACAGAAAGCTTATAACTCACTAGAGGAGAGGGAAAAGCCCAAAATGCACAATAGGGCCTCTTTAAATGTACTTTCAGACTACAGATCCAGGACACGTACCAGCGTAGCTCCCCTCCGAAGCGTGCGTTCAGGCTGGCCACAGACCCAGCATCCAGATGGTCATAGTGAGAATGACTGATGACCACAGCATCGATCCTGGGCAGCTGGTGAAGGACGATGGACAATGAAACAAGGCCTGGGTTAAATACTGTGGAGGGGGTGTTAGCTTTTTATTTTCTTTAAAATGTAAAAGGTACTCAACCTGTTCCACAGTGCAGGGGGGCCCTCGGTACCTTTTGTGGCCCATGAACTGGAAGGGTGAGGCCCTCTGGCTGAACATTGGGTCTGTGAGGATATTCAGCCCGTCCATCTCCACCAGAACTGTGGCGTGACCCAGCCAGGTGACCCTCAGCCCGGGGCCCGACTCAGAGAGGTCCGGGGTCTGGATGAAGTACGGCTCCAGCACGGGGAGCTCGTTGTCCAGAGCCTACGGGGGGGGGTTACGGGTATGTTATGTACAACCGACCCACATTCTGATGACGGCTAAGAGGATGTTTCAGTCTTATGACCTCGCTTGATCATACTTTTCAAAAATCATCCCTAATCCCCTCTTACCCTAATAACATATGAACTGTTGTACGCTCTGCACACATTACTGCGCTCTCCTGTTTAAACCTCTTTGAACAGAGGAAGGAAAGGCTCTGTTTAAGCTACCTCCTTTCAGAATATGTTTACAGAAAATAGCTTGCTACCTTGACAAGGTAAAATGTAAATCTATTTCCTTACTGGAGGACTAAAAGTGTGCCATTCTTGGCTTAAAACATGTTTCTGTTGCTGTGAAAGCATAGTTTGAAGTCTGTTAAGCCCCAACAGAGCTCAGCAAGGTTTCTACTTGGAGCTTAATACTCACAGCAATAATCCAACAGACGAGGGGAATACTGTATATGACCTCTAATGCCGGTCACTATAAGGATAATACAAGTGCCAGACACCCTGGCTTAACAATATTTTAGGTAATATTTGAGTAAGTTCAGAACACCTTCCAACACTTTTATATTTATTCAGTTGTTTAGAAGTAGGTGAGTTTAGGCTTAGGGTGGAGCTATATCAGCCACTATGTACTGAGGTTACATTTAAACCCTCTATTACTGATCAGACACTATTCCAGCGTTTCCGCCAGGGGGGCGTCTTGCCGTCATTTGACGCTCTTATTCAGCTCGGAACGCCCTGAACGCGAGCCGAGGGCGTCCAAAAAAATAAATAATTTGAGAGAAGATCGAGAGTTTTTATCGCTTGAAATGACGAAAAGGAAAAAGGACAAGGTCATCCCTCTGTTGGAGGGGCAAAGGAGTCTGGTGGGATTATTTTCGCCTCCAGCCTCCTGTGTCGAAAAAAACAAAACACCGCCGCATCTTCCAAGGACCATGCCAGGAGGGGTGTCCCTGTCGGCAGGGAGACGTAAAGAGATAGTATCTATAAGAGATGGCGCAATTCAAAATTCTCTCGGGGTGGACGCCCTCTCAGCCCTGGTCCGGCGGAAACACTGATTGAGACTAATAATATATTAGATGTTAGTCTTATTTGTACCCACCTCTTTACTGGTTGGTACATTGCTGTGGTTTTTATCCAGCAGCAGGAATCTGAGCAGGGTGGTGTAGGAGGGGAAGCGCCATGTGGGCCAGGGGTTGGTCCAGCGGCCATTTTTGTCCCGACAGGACTTTGTCACTTCCTCCTACAATCAAAGTAAACAATGTCGTTTCAGTTGTTATAGAAAGGCATTTCAAACGACGTCAGGTTAAAACACAATTTAAATTAAAAATCTTTATCTTGAATTTGAATAAAAACCACCTGGGTTTTATTCAAATTCACCATTTGTTCAAGTTTTTCACCATTCAATAACATTGAAAGAACACAAAATCCCCCAATAACTAATTGCAAACAGTTTCCAAAATGAAGTGAAATGAAGCTGTAAAATCTCCAATTTGGCAAGTTGAGGGAAGAAAATGGAAATCAGATAGTGAGGAAAGAGGAGGTGATGAGTGTGCTTTAGGGGAGTGAGGACTGACCTCCAGCCGGTAGTCCAGGCGGAAGCTCTTGCGGGAAGAGCGAGAGGAGCTGCTCTTCCTCGGAGTCTGAGGGTCCACCTCCCCCCCCCCCAGCCCCCCTCAGCACCCAGCTGTCCTGCACCACAGGTACAAACAGAAGGAGAAATTAGCCTGACACACATAACCAAAAATCATCAAGACATCCTCTTGTGCCTCAAAATGTAAACTTTGAGTTTCAAATACATTTTCAGCTTCTGGTGGCTTTGGGTGTAACAATACACCTCTGAAATGCTTCTATATGCACCATAAATGTTCCAATCCATATAACATGTCTGTGTTTATTATCGTACCTATTTTAAACAAATATTTAGACTGATTAATTAAATATTTTAGACCATTAAATAGTAAGGGTTAGAGCAGTTTAGGCACTAAAAGGAGCATTAGGAACATTTTCAATAAATAGGGTCAAAATGTATACATCAGACCCAAAGAGATGTCCTCTTTTTATCCATGCATTCGTTTACATTCGACATCACAATAGAGGGATTGGAGTGCTGTGCTACTAGCGGCTCAAAGAGCGTCAAGCTGCTAGACTGAAGCAGAGATGAGGAGCGGGCTATGGAGGTCACTTCTTACTACCATTTTTATTTTCAAACTTGAATCTTTTTAAGCCCTAACAGACATTATGGATCTCAATGGGATAAGATGTTGGACTGCTCCTTCTGAATTGACTAAGGCTTTAACAAATGTGTCTCCCCATGAAACTCAATAATAAGAGTGTAAAATCAATAGGTGGAGCAATAATCAATACACCCAATCACAGGGCCTGTAAACAGTCTTTTTCACAGCAGATAGTTTTAGTTAATAGAAAACTATAACGAAATGTCGTTGTCGAAATGTAATGTATTAGCAAACTGTACTTTTCTGGTGACATTTGATTACTTTTTTACATGATTACATTGCATTTAGCTGACGCTTTATCCAAAGCGACTTTGGTCATGTTACGCTAAGAAGGGTGGCAGTTTTATCAACACTGAGAACTTAGCAGCTCACAATATTTTCCATGCTGATTCATTGTGTCAAAAGGCCTGCTGTTATAGAGGTACATTTTGAGCTCTAGCAGAATCACAGATCCCCAGGCAATAAGGAGTCTCTCAAATGAGCATAGCATGTTTTTCATTCTAAATGTGAGATTTTAAAAACACACTGTATTCTTTTTAGTATCTAGTTGTGTCTCCTTGAGCAGACTGCTTACCTCCACCAGACCCCTCCTCTCCTCCAGAGCTGCTTTGCCTGAAGATGATGGCTTCTCCATGGGCTCAGCACCACGCCTACACACACAAACACACACTTCAAGCTACTGCTTCGGTCAGTGGAACCACAGATTGACAGAGCAACGATAACAGATCTCTTTGAAACGTGTGACAGCTGAACTGTAGTCATTTGCATGAGACAGAAAGATGATGAAGATGATGGTGAATAAGGCCAATTGTATCTCCGTTTTATATGAATCTTATCTCATAACATCTGCAGGACGATTATGAAACAAGTTGCTAAGTGAGGTAGGTGACACATAAAAGTACACAAAGAGAAGTGTTTTTCCTCTTGTGTAATACTGAATGGGAAGTACTGTGACGCATGATACTAAAAAAACAAGGGCAATCCGTGTTGGAAAAGACAACGTTAAATAAAACAATGTGCTTAGGCTTCACTGCAACATATTAAAGCCCAGTGCAACAGCTACAACTGCACTGACGTATTCCTTATTATACAATATCCGCCTAAAACACGATGGTGCAATATTAAACTTTGAGTTGAGGCCTACACCGAGATCAGGCCTGGCTTCAGCTGTGCAGACCTGGGGTATAATAAAAGATTCCTGGATCGACTTAAGAGGAATAAGACCTTTGATAGGAAAGGTTGGAAACATTATGGTGAATTTGACATTTTAGTTTAAGGGTAGGGGAAGAAACACCTACATTTACTGAGCAAATAAATTGATGTTGGCAGTGGGCACCTACTCGCTCCAAAGTAAGCCTAATCACAGACCTTCCTTATCCTGCTTTTATCCACAGCAGACACAGGGCAGCACACACCCTCACTGACTACTATGATCACCTCATAATAGTTCCTTCATGCACTCATGAGAAAAGGCACTTGCGTGAGGTTGCTCTTCCATATTGATTGATTAGGGATGTGGTCTTTTTGTGGCATGGTATTGATGGATCCTCTGTTGTGTTAAGAGACATTACGGACTCTGCCAGGTATACACACATAAACACACTAATGCAACAGAAGATTCACAAGTATGTGTCCTCTTAGAGGGAACTCAATACATTAAAGCTATGCTGATAATGCACTCACACTCATGAATGGACTTAAACTGCACAGACACACAGGCTCTGGGACAACAATGGAGCTCTATGGACCACAACCAGACAAAGACCAAAGTAGGCAGCCAGCGTGCCTGATCATATAGGCAACAAATATAGCCTGAAGTGAGTTTCTCTCCTCTGTTTCTCTGTAGATCCAATCTTTCTATTAATTGATCAGACAGTGTGGTCTCCAAATTATTTCAAAGAAAACACACAGGATGTACATAATAACATGTATCCGGCCCAGGTTTCCATCATGAAAGCAGTTAAATGTCTAAGAGTGAGCTAACAAATTAGTGCTATTAACTTAACAGCATCACACACACAAGTCCTAACATGAATGTGTCCCTGAGATACTCACTGCCAGACCATGTGATAAACTGCCTTAACATCTTTACACCAGCTGTTTCCTTTTCAAAGTATGTAAACAGGCCGGTTAGACAACAACAACAACAACACTGAATCACAACACCTTTACCCGTCCCACGGAGGGGGACATTACACTGTAACAACCACAGTGAAGAGCATTACATAGCTACATATTCATTAAAAAGGCATGCATAAAATATTAAAGACAACAATAGAAATTACACAAATTACAATTTACAAAAACTGAAAGTGTAGCAGTGTAGCATGTATAAAGTAGTGTCTGTAGTGATAATGTGACACTGGCTTTATTATTAATGTAATAAAATAAGCACAGGTAGTAATGCTATGCTAAAATACATTTTCACCAGCACAGCAAAATGTGTCCATTGGGGGGGAAAACCGAGATAGTATAAACCAGATTAAGATGCCATAAAGCCACTCACTGTCGAATAGCACAGCCATAGGCTACAAAACATGCCTGTTGTTACCGGTTTCACCGAATTTACCTGAAAACTTGAACGCAGCAGAACAGCACCGGTTGTTTTCTCAGCGGGGAGACATGTCTGTTGCATTTACGGTAGCCATATACCAGGTTAATGCGAGCTGGACAGCATTATCAGGAGATATACGGTTCCCTACGTGTTTCCAATGCAGTTTACATTGCTATAAGGCGTATTTGTTAAGTCACTAGCCAGTGTAAAGTTAAAGACATCAGAGAATGCTGTGGAAAGATGTCTCTGGGCAGTTAAGTCGCGCGGAGGATCAGCTCTGTGTCTCTGACGTAGGAACAAAAACCTCTGGTCACGTGACCGTCCACAAAACTCTCGCGGGCTGTTTTATAAATAAAGACACAAGTAACTAGTAAAAGTAAGTTTACTATTTTGTCTGTTATATTTTATTATGCTATAGCTGACTTATTTTGTCCTACATTGCATTGTTTCAATTATGATTTAAATAACGTCTTTAACTAATTTAATTTAGTAGAAGAGAGAAAATAGAGAGAGATCTAATTTACTTTAAACATATTTGATGACTGGGGTAATTGTTTGTGTATTTATTTCTAATTCCTGACTTCTGACGGCGGGTTGCACACAAAAAATAAAATGTGTGGTCTATGCCAGATTTTTTTTTACAATATATAACTATAACTAGATTAAAACGAAATCCAGTCAAATAAACTTCACTACATTAGAATCATTTTGAAACCATGTTATTGTTGCTCGATATAACGCGAACTGTTCGGTGATCAAATGAATGAGCACTGTGTCAAAGGTTGGCAACATCTGATTACACAGGGTGACCGTGTTCAATTAGAATTATTTTAGTCATAATAACTGAGAAAATGTGTCACATAACAGGTGAAGTCCCCCACAAACACAAACACTTCCATGAGTACTAAATTACACAAAAGGTGAAATGGTCCACCTACCCTGAATGTGTCCTCCTGATGGCGGGCAGCCGGAGCACAGCCGCCTTCAGCCGGAGCACAGCCGCCTTCAGCCGCTCGGAGAAGTTACTAAAGCCGCCCTCCAGCAACACATGAACCGGCCTGCACAACACTGACTTCATGATAGCCCTTTGTGTTAGACAATATTTGCTTTAAAGTTGTAATAAATCCCCCAAAGACGCCATAAAGTTGCATATTTAAACATAATGGTTAGTACAGCTCGAGGAAGTCTCAGTACGGACGCTGAGGTGGTTGGAAATTCCACCCAGATGCTTTCAGGGGCTTTCGGAAATGTGAAAATCTCGGCTCAAATGAAAAGACCTATATTACCTCTTTAGAATAGATACGAAAACAATATCACCATTGAATCGTTAAGAAATGTAATAACGTTTGTTCTCAAATCTGGTATTGGTCAAACGTGTATGTATACAATGGTAGGGCACATTCAGTTTTACCTAAGCTGAAGTTTATGGTGTTACAATAATGGCTTTATCACAGAGCAAACTTTCACTACATTTGACCAACTTTTGCAGAACACTCCTATGCCAATCCTAAAAGCCATTTCTCACTCAAAGGATTCTATAAGAGTTAATCAACATAAACTTCATCAGCCAAATCAGTCCTCATGCAGTCACCTTCAGCTGGTTTCCCCACCCATCTAGTGTATGTGGACTGTCAGTGGGAAATGGTGTATTCTGCAAATAAATATAGACAGCATCAGGATTGAAAAGCAGGACAAACTCTGCTCAACATTTGCAATTGTGGTGCACAATGCTTAACAATATTGTCATATAGTAACCTTGACTAGCCGGACGCTACTATGGTTGCAGTTCAACACTTGTCATGTGTTTTTAATAAACCCTCATCTAACCCAAATTGTTACAAAATAAATAACATATACAAGAAATCTTGTAAACACAATTGCTTTTATAGAAAAAATCAAAAGATCAGTAAAAATTACCAAATTATTACACTTTTACATTCCGACACAAAAGTGGACATCTCTTCAGGTAGGTATGGATGTGGGGATGCTAAAATGACTTTTGCTGTTGTCCTCTTATCAGGTACCAATAACATGGACATGAGTGGACAGGATTAATGTTGGATCAGCGGTTCAAGCAATGTGTGGGTAAAAAGACAACAATGACAAGTTTATAAAGAAACAATCCCAAAATCCTTGTTTCAGTGATATACTAAAAACTATGTTATGTAAAAAATTATTGTAATGTTTTCTCTGAGGGTCCATGTAAAGAAAAACGATTAAAACACAAAATGTGTGATCATAAAATATGTCACAGCAATGTTTTGAATCATTATGTCCGTTCCTCAGTGGTCCTTGTGGTCTCCGTCCTCCTCCAGCTTCCTGATCTCTGCCTTCAGGCTGTTGATGTTCTCTCTGCTGGCTTTTAGTTTGTCCTTCAGCTCAGTGATCTCCAGGCTGGTTCTCCTCTTTGCCGCGTCCATTTTCTCCTTGGTCCTCTGCTCCAGCTCACTGACTGCAGACACGGACAAGCACTCATTAGCATGAGAGGGACTCAAACTCTTTAGTTCAGTGACACAAACTACATGTTTCCATTATGTAGGGTACTGAGGTTAACAGTAAGTCACAATTACGGCCCGTCCACACAGCGGCTTTGGAAAAAGCTTGCCTGTGGGCGTGTCTGAAGCTCGACCAACAACCAATCACATGAATTTCCCGCCCCTGACACACAAGCAGCGGTTTGATTGGCTAGAGCTTGTACTGGCATATGATTTGGTTGGCTGACGCTTCTGCCGAAAGCTTCAGAAGCTTCAAAAGTTGAACATGGAAAGCCAGGAAAGCTCCGCTCTGCTTCCCACAATGCAGTTCGGCGAAAAGTGACGTCACCCCATTCAAAGTGAATGGGCAGAAGGGCCGCTGTGTGGACGGGCCGCTGTGTGGACGGGCCGTTAGGGTATCTGAAAATGTGTTTGTGTGCATTGTTGTTGTACATACATTCTGTCTCGTGCTTGTATGCTCCCAGTGTGAGTTGTCTCGATGTGGTCAGTAGCTGCTGCATCATGGCTGTAGGATCCTGGAAGATCTGAAAAAGAAAGAAAACTGAGTTAGACCCATTACATTAAAGGTCTCCTATTATGCCATTTTTAGGCATACATTATGGGTCTCAGATATATAAAAAAAATATAAAAAACTAGGGATGCTCCGATCGCCAATTTTGGGGCCGATCGCCGGAATCTGTATCGGCCGATACCGATCGACGATCCGATCGAGTGGGCGGGGCCTATGGGGATCTTCCATTTAAAGTGATGGTTAAAACTCAGTTAATGGGGCTCATTCACTGGCGCTTCCACAAACAACAACCAACATAATTATTACATTCAAATGAAGTACATTATTCAAGTTTACATTAACTTTGGATAATAACACGGGAGAAATGAGCGGAAGCGCTCTCTTTTCCTCTCTACCCCTCTCTCTCTCTCCTGACAGCCTGTCAGTATCTCATGCAGCTCAATTATCCAGTAATGAGTGACCCGACAGTGAAGAATAAACATATGTATAACTAGTTTAGCTTGTTCCAGAAGTAGATACAATAGCTACGTGTGTTAGGTCTAACTCTTTTGGCGCATTTCCACTACAGTGCGGTTTAAAAATGCCGTGCCTGGCCTGTTTTTGGTTGCGCTTCCACTAGGCGTAGTTCCGGCTAGCGAGTACTTTTTCACAGTTTTCTGGCTCTCCAAATTCGAGGTTCTTTCCGGGCCAACAACTGGGCTGAGTATGCTAAACTAGTGAGAGAATCGCTGGCAACTACAACAAAATGAACATATTTGACCGTGATTTAATTGTAATACACGTTTCAAAATGATGCCGAAGTAACAACATACTGATACCGGTTAGTAAAAACCATGAATCAATGCTTTGACAAGTCTGCAGAAAAGACGTCAGGCGAGAAACCTTTTTAAATGCGTGTTTTTCTGAATAGAGTTCGGCTAAGCTAACGTTGTATATGCTCCGACTGTCCACACTCACAACAACGGCCTCCAGACATAAATAAACCAGCGACTGTATTCGCCATGACACAGGCAGTCTGTGGTTTGTACTTGTTTAACTTTTGTCTAGTTTCTGAACAGATATGAGGAGCTGTGAGCTCTGAGAGCTAACAGCTAACGGCTGATGTTGTTTTTGTGTTTCGCATTGAAGATGACGTCACGGCTCCGCCTACACTGCGTTACTATAGTTACTACCCTAGTTCCTAAACTGTAATGGAAACGCAGCATAAAGTGAGCCTGGCCTACCAAGGCCTAACTATACCATACTAAGCCGTGTGAGGCCCTGCAGTGGAAATGCGCCATTAGTGTGTGTTGCTCTGCTCACCGGTCCGTCACAGCGGGTGGAGCTGCAGGATTTCTGCTTCACACACGTTTCATACCGCTATTTTATTGTCATTTTCGGACACCTTAAAAAGGTCCCATGTCATTCTTTTTTCAGTTATTACCCGTTTTTATGCATGTAAACGGTCTGCAAAGTCACAAACCCTCAAAGTACACCCTCACACACACTGGGGCCGTTTCTCAATCTCGAGGAAACTGGCTTCCAAGCCAATATTTCAAGGATGCTACGTCATCGAGTGCTGCCGAAGGACTGTTCCAATCTCCAGCATACTTGGAATTCCACCAAGCCCGCGTCCTTGGTTTGGTGGTAATTTCGAGGCTGCACATGGGTAGACTTTGCGTCCTTAAAATCCCCACAATGCTTTGCGCACGGGCCAATTTCCCCAAATCTGTGGCGGAAAATGTAAGGCGGGGCCTCTCATATGACGCACACCTGCTAGCCTGTTCCACTCTTTGTTTTCCCAATGCCAGGAAGGATTCTTGTCTAGCTTCTGAAGCAAGTGATTCGGAAGACATGTGCTACAAAGCAAGCATCCTCGCGATTGAGAAACGGCCTGGGTGTTTCTCAATGTCGAGGATGCTTGCTTGGTAGCACATGCACACTTGCTTCAGAAGCAAGGCAAGAATCCTTCCTAGCCTCAGAAAACGAAGAATTGTGGAACAGGCTAACAGCAGGGCCGCCTTAATGCACGGGCTGACCTGAGCTGGGGCCTGGAGATCGGGGGCCTATCATGAGACAATAAAAAAATTCCCAATTTTTTAATTTTTTTTATTTCGGGTGTTTTTAATTTTTTTTTAAATAAACAAAGTCTTGGCTTTCAGAATATGAAACTTATTTCCAAAATCACACGATAAATACATTTTTGAAGCTTGTAAAGGGAAGAAGACAGCTCTCCCTCGCCACTCTGCTGTTCCACAGCGCCGCTTCCCCTCCCTTCGCTGAAATTATGAATGTAAGGGAAAATGTCGGAGAAGAAAAAGTTTGAGAAAGGCGCTCGGAAAAGGAAATTTTTGAGGGAAAGGGAGTTTTGAGACAAGCAGCGATTACAAAAAATGCCGAAGCTTACAGGTTATTTTAAACCTGTAGGCCAGGATGAGGAGGAAGGACAGATTAGTTTTGTACCGAGCGGTAGCGGTGCCGGCCGCGAGGCCTCGGAGGGCCGTCTGGTTCCGATAGCAATGGAGTAGCGGGAGAGGAAAAACAGACAGGAGGGACATTATCTGTTGGAGGAGATGGAGAGGACGACGAGGACTTGCTAGGTGGAGGGGAGCCAACGGCAACCGGACAGATACATGAGGGAGGCCCGATACGTCACTCATCTGGAGGCGAGGACCAGGCGCGCATAGAGCAGAGTGGAGAAGTGCGATCACAGAGCCTGCCGAGGCTATAAATGACTTTGATTTGTTGTTTAAATAGGCCCCAGGGCCTTATGGCAGGTTAGGCTAACAGGTGTGCGTCATATTCGAGGCCCCGCCTTAAATGGAGCACGATTTCCGCCAAAGAAAAATACCAAACAGATCATGCATTTTAGACATCCCTCATATCCCTCTATTTCAGGCATGTTAGAGAATGGCTGATCTGGGTCCTTAGCTTAAAAAAAAAAAAAGAGGAGGGGGAGCTTGTGCCTGCTCAGAATTCTACCGAGAGATTCTCTGCTAAATGCTACCGTGATGAAACACCATATCATGTTCCAAACCACATTAAGGATTATTTCTGAAACAGTACGGAGCTCAAATGCTTTTTCTCTTGCGGGTTTACAACAAGGTGAGTTCCTTTTTATGTCCTGCTTTTTTACACATACTCTCTCACACTTTGTGTATTCCCTGAAACACCGGGGACACATATTTATGTATGAAAGACATCAAAAAGTGCATTTTGCTTGATAGGTCCCCTTTAAAATACTGATGCCATGTCAGTGTGAACATCTAATTCTCTAAGTGTGGACGGTAAACAATATGTGATTCATGCATTTCCCTTTATGGTAGCAAGATTAGATATTAGTATATCACTATAACTGATGGGCCTAGCAATTTAATTAAAGAAATACTTAACATTCAGACAATTCAAAAACCCGAGCACAAAGGAAGGAGTACCATTTCATCATAGAATTCAGAGACAACCGTCTTCTTCGGTATGGCGCTGGTGTCTGACTGGAAGAGCTTCAACAGATGGTACAGAGTCACCTGACACACACACAAGGAAAACAAGTTTTACATTATTTTGTCACACTGGCTTGAATACTAATCTTATCATGTGTTGAATATTGAATATTAGGAATCCAAGCAGCTCAATCAAAATATATATTAGGCACTCACAGGTCTCTCATTGGGGTCAATGAAGAAGATCTTGACGATGATCTCAAACTCCCCCCAGCCCGTCTCTGTGATCTCATACGGAGGCTTCGTCACCACTGGAAGGCAGAGAGAAGTATTTGTACACACGCATATAGTATTTTTATTGTCTGATCACACATTTGAATTACCTTTACATTTAAACCAACCTGGCTTATTTATTGTACTATCCATTTCCAATCACTTTTTCTCATTTGTAAAAAAATTCATTTTCTCATAATGTAAAATAATTCACAAGAAACAATGCATCCCCTCTAAATCACAGAGACATTGGGATGCAGTTACTGCCTGTGGTCATCCTGTGGTTTCCTCACCTCTCAGTGGGTTACCATAGCTCTCATGAAGCTTGAACTGGATCTTCTTCACATACGCAGACATATCCTGGGAGACATGGGGGAAACATGACAATAAGTAGAAGACCAATATCTTTGAAATGACGAGCGTGTTAACATACACTGCTGTATTTGATATCCTTGGTGTGATCCGGATGTCTCACCTCGTTTCTGTAAGGCTTCACATAGACAGACCACTGATGTGTGTGTCCGTCCTCCTCTCTCTTCTTCCCGAAGTAACGGGCAACGTTCCCGAACACAATGGGCTTAATGATGGTTACTCCCTGCAGACCACAGAGGGGAAACATCACGTTGTTATTATATAATTAATCAGTTCCTGTTCAAATACTCCCACATTCAAGAAGAAGAAAAACAGTGGTTATCGTTAGTCATTCCTTATTGGTGTAATTATGAACTACCGTACAGAGAAGTAATGCAACACAGTGAGTTAATGTAACCGCAGACAGCTCCAGTGTTACCTTCACTCTCCCCCCGGAATCTGGACCAAATTCAGTCATCTTTTTGAACATAGTACGATAGAGAGAGAAGTTCAACTCTGTGTTCACTCTACAGGACTCTTCTTGTTCCTAGGCGGGTATCCACATGTAGTATAGCTGCCATTTAAGCATTAAAAGTGTGTTTCATATAGCCAGCGTTTGTAATTTTAAACTACCAGCCAAACAAGCACCGGAAGTGCAACATGCTAACTTGCACGGCAGGAGTGAGACACGGCTACCAGAAGGTTCCGGGCACAATAACGTTGCATTTATTTGTATATGTATATATAATTTCAAGAATGTTATTTTTATTGATAATTGAATCGCATATATTCATAGCATGATGTCCTTGAAAATGGTGATATAAAGTAAACCCTCTTTAACCTCAATACTTATACCTAAAATAAAAATGTATCAGTGAACGTCCCTTAGTGAAAGTATCTCGTAGTAAGTTACATACAAAAAAGTCCTTGCCTCTAAAAAACATTTTATTTCCATAATTTGTGTATTGAACCTCTATCTATTTGGGGGCGGGGGTGGATTTAGAAACCGAGGTTATTGTAGAATGTAGATAATGTGCAGAAATCATTTGTATTTCCATAGACTGCCTAGAAGTAATTGATGATAGCCCTTCCTGACTGCAGCCTTCTCTGAATACCAATTAGATTAATCGTGCACGAAGGAAAGCCAAGAAACCAAACTGCATTTACAAATCTTTTATTTATTTTACTAATGGCCATTTGATAACTTTTGGCTACAAGCTGTCTCTCCCTGTCAGGGAAACTGTAAATGGAACAAATCATTACTAGCAGCATTATAACAGTCCTCCCTGGAAATAATCTAAAAGTTACCCAAATCATAGAAAAAACCCAAGTTACAATAATATCTGATCATAGAGACTCAACGTTTCATACCCTACGTGTTAAAGTGCAAGTTTGCATTGCCATGCTGATCGATTATATTTACAGGTAAAACACTTTAACTGCCATCACCAGGTACCTTTAAAGGTTCGGAACACCTTTGTCAAGTTTCACATGGCTTTTTTTTTCAAATCAATTGTTACTGTTGGTTTTAAAGTAGCCAAGATGAATATTTAGTGAAAATATACTTTGTCAAATACTACAAATACATACACAAAAATATACTTTCCATTTGATTGTGAGGTAAAGTCTGGATCTGGGTTCAGAATCAGTCCTTCTGCAGGGACGAGGACCTGAAAACACTTACCTTCAGCGCTGTGGAGAGCACAAAGCAACAAATACACAGCGACACCTATGTCTGATTGACCTATGTCAGGATGACACCGATTGAAACCGTTTTCAGATCACAAAATGTATATAAAGTCAATGTACAATAAAGGCTTTGTAAGGCACAAAAGAGTCTTCAATCAGGCATTTTCTTTTACAAAACCCTAATTTACAATGTTTCATTAGTCTTTTACAGAGTTTACAAGGTTATGGGTGCATAATGATTAATATCAGTGCATATCAAACACTTTTTAAAGTATACTGTTTGCAAGATTAAAAGAGCAGCATGGGGATTTAAAATAGCGGTTGGCTTTACAAAGTTAACAACTTGTTTTTTGATCAGATGATTCTGAAGCCATTACAATGAATAGGTGGCGTCAACAATCCTTACAATCATCAAATACTTTTAGGCATGCAATATTTCAGGAGAAGGTTGTGCATTTGAATCGAGACTGATATAAAAAGGAAAGACAAATATCTTGACAAGTAAACCAATGATCTCAAATAAGACAACACATAAAAAAAGATTGAGACAAAGTTATTGTTGACCATTTAAATAGTTATGCTAAGCTGTCAATATCAGTGTTAATCAACAATGTCAGTTTGAGTCTCTTTTTATCCATGTCTTTGTTATGGAGTACACATGGAACAAACAGCAATATCAAACCCTCTGATGAAACACTGTTGCAGCACCACAAATATTTTTCCCCAATTTTTATTTACTAAAATTCAACAACTGGACTGGCCAATGTCAAATATCAGGTTATCTACGCCAAATATATTTTGTAATTAAAAATATTGATCAGACAGTAAAAAAAACAGACATGAACCTCAGTGCTTATTGGCCTAAACGCTCTACTTAATACTACCAACTAAAAGCTCTGTATCACAAAGTGTATACAATCACAGCCTAACAAAAATGCAAGACAAACATTATGGGTGTAGGAAAGAAAGACATGATGCCGTGCATATGACAACGTTAGTGAGATGGTGCAGACAGCATGTTTAAGAAGTTGCTTATAAAGACCCTGCACTGAATCTGTTGCTTATGTTGTGGAGTGACAGGGCCAAGTGTTACACATGAATATACAAAAATGTGGACAAAATGGTGTAAAAGCACGGAAAAAAAGTCAAATGTACTTGAAATGGAGGATCTAATTTAGAATTTAAATCACCAATTACATGTTTACTACAATCCCTGGTTGAAGTTATATGGATTAAGAACATATTTCACATCAGAACATAAGACAAATTTGAATAGGGAGATTGTGGCGATAGCTAGTCAGTGCGATTAGACACAACAGAAACCACTTTGTAAACAGCATTTGCCTCTTGTTTTTTGGTCAAGGTATGTGTGTACCAGAGCTGCCTGAAATAGTTTAGCGCTTCAACCTGTTTAAGGTCTACACATCTTCCCAGCAACACATCATTTCACATTGCAATAAAGTACATTCATCTTACCTTTTAAAAGTTTTTTTCCATTTAGAGAAAAGAACACAACAAAAAAAGATTTGTTTTTCCAAAACCATAGAGCCGTTTGCTAATACAGCTAGGAAAAAAATAAAAATTAAAGGTGGACATTCATTATGAAAAGTTTGCAGTCCAAAATACACATTTAATATAAATGAGCCAAACATGTAGAGGAATCACCAACTGCATCAAGTACATCAGTAAACATTTTTTATTACAACACCATCTAGTTTTTAATCAAAAGCAGACATTTACAAACATTCTAACAACAAAAAGAATAAATGAGAATGAGGAGGGGGTGGGGAGAACACACCAAATATGTACCCTATAAAAACTGATCTCTAAACTGAATGTACACAGTACAGCGAGCCAATGGAAAATAAAAAGCAAACGGGATGTGATGTTTGTGTCTTCTAGAAAGGAATCGGTGGGCCATTTTATCGTTTCTTCGCAACAAAAAAAAGCATCACACAGTCATTTTCTTGTCAAATAAAACATCATAAAAATAAAAGAACTGTCTGGAAAGTTTCTTTTCTTTCATCTTTAGTTAACATGAGTATAGATGTTTGGATAACATAGCCTTACACAGGTCAGGGTCTTCCATCCACTGCTCTTATTCAGGCAGACAAAATGAACAGACAAGAGAGAAGTATGGTGGACAGGAGAGATGGAGGAGGAGGTGGTGCTTTGATCCTGTCCGGTCATGCAGAGCGGGGAGGTGGTGGCGCAATGAAATCCTTCCTCCTTTTCCTTCCATCCATCCATGATCCTCGTTAGCTAAAGGGGGCCAAAACGAAGGGTGGAGTTTGGTTTGGAGGCAGCCCAACAGAGAACACTTTACCCCCCTCATCATTAAACCTCTACACTACACATACATAGTGCATACCAGGGCTGGGTGCAATTCAGCATCACTGTGAGTTACACATGTCCATTTACTGTTATGCTTACAACAGTATGGTCATAACACAATTAAACGGTCTGTGAAAATAGGGCATATAAATTGTATAATACAATATAAGGACAATCACTGCTGTAGACGTTGTATTGCACCCAACCCTGGGACAGACACAGAGAAACAATGTCATGCAAACTTTAACAGGACAAGAAGGAAATCTATCAGTATATACACAAACCAGAAAATGAAACAATATGCTTTCAAGCCCAGGCCTAAATGTACTTTATTTGTGTTTTGGAGACATGGATTAAAAATGTGTATTATATAAATGTGTGTGTGTAAATTAATATATAGATGCTTGAACGTGACACAAAGCACGACTATAATGTACACTACATTTCAGATGAATGGATAAAGGGAATATGCTGATAGAAAGGGCTAAGACAGGATTTAACTAGACTCCTGGCTTTACAGGGTCACTCCTGCATAGTGCAGCATATTTTCGGTTTTGTGTAGCATACTGTACGCCTAGTGCAATTTGCAAAGATTCTGGTACATTTGTTAAATTCTCCAATCCCCAGTGGTTTTCCAAAAGACTTGCCCTCTCCCGTTTCAACAACTTCTAAATTATTCATTGGTATGTATTAGGGATGGGAACGATTAATCGAATATTCAAAATTATTCAGGTCTTCGAATATGAGTTATGAATATTTTTATTGTAATTTTTTAAAAACATTTTTTGGGAGGGGGCGCCTAAGTTGATTACATATTATCAAATGGAATAATTCAATGTATACGACAGTGCCATAGCTAAATGTGTTAGGTCTAAAGGTGTGTTTTGCTCCGCTCAAACCTCATCGTATGCCCAAATTCCAGCTGAGAGGGTCTTCTCTACAGCGAATCGCCTCCGCACCCGCCTCTCCCCTGAGCATGTAGACATGCTCATATTCTTAAACAAGAATGAGTATTGAATAGCCTCTGTTGTAATAGGGTTACGTTATCCTAACCCGTAATGTTGTTCGTGTATGATCCCTCTTTAATTTAAAAACTAAGTTATGTTTTAAGCATGAAAGCTGTAGGCCTATAGCTGTCAACTGTTCAAACTGTGATCACCTATTCAATACATTTGACAAATTCGACTTGGTTTCTATACTTTTTTGAACATGTATTTATTTATTTCTTCTTTTTTTTTATACGATGTGTACATTTCAGTTCATCGGTTAACCGTTTTTATGGGGGTCAAATATACATTTGCTTTTAAATTCCCATCCCTAGAATGCATTATGTTTAGGGTTGGTTACTACCCATAACACTGGGCTGTACGTTTGTCATACAGCTATTCCCAGAACACATGTATCTTAAATCCAAATGGTAATGGTAATGGCAGGCATTGAATACAAAGCTAGACACTGAAAACTTGAACCACTGTGACACAGCCAACGTTTCCGGAAATGAAGCAATATAGTAGTAAAAGACACAGAAAGGACAAAAAGAGCTGTAGATACAAACACAAAACTACCAAGAGGACGGTATGTATCAGAGGTCCACTTAAAGCACTTCAAATGGAATGTAACATTCATCAGATGAAACGTCAACAGTTCTGATACAGAAAGTCAAATTTGTTAGTTACTCTATTACTTTAAATCCAATTTAATGCAAGGTTTTTGCTTTACATGGGGAATTTAGAGTTAGTTTATGCACCAGGAAAGCCTTACTTACAGGCGATTTAAAGTGTATATTGAAACTTGAACATTCTTTTGCTGTACATAGGGTTTTACATGTTATAAAACCGACAATACCAAACACAGAAGACAAAGTTAATCCTAGTCACACTATTATTTATAAAAGGGGAGAGGGGCATGACTGAACCTTGTCAACAGCCAATTACAAAGCAGACCAAATCATAATTTGCCATATCAAAAATAAGATTCAAACATGTTCTACTCTTAAAGATATGTAATGTGTAGCAGCGTGTCATCTAATAAAGCATGGAAATGAATAAGGACAGAGCCAAACCAGGGTCAAACAGTCCATCAAATCAACGGATTCAACTTTTATAAAACACAACGCATGTGTAATTTATCATTACAAATGTTCTACTGAAAAGATTAGAATATCAAATAATCTTCAGAAATACTACTAATAATGCTTCAGGCATTCAAAAAAAATTGCTATTGCATGGTGGTGTAGAAAAATGTACACCTTAGCAATTCTACTCACTGTGATATCTACAAGGCTGATTGGTTGATCTTTATACGGGGAACTAAACAAAGCATTACAAATGTTTGAAGGCAAATTGGGTGAATGTTAACATTGTGCATAGGCCATCTTTAAGTGTCACAAATATTCAAGTCAAATGTTTTATTATTGATTTTGTTTTCTTAAATGGGCATAAATACTAAGTGCTGACATAGTC